TCGACTTTCCAATTTTTCGAACTCATCACAAACATGTTTAAATGAGATTTATTTTATTTTTATTTCCTTTGTTTAATTAATTCATATTTTTGCATTATTACTTAAAATTATTATTTTTTATATCTTTTCATATTATTTTGTTTAATTTATTCTTATATTATACTTTTTTAATTGTAATTTTTATTTAATTTTCTTTCGTTTTAAATTACTTAAAATTTTTGTTTGGTTCAAAAATTGGTTCGTGTCACGCTGCCATCTCTAGCCTTACGTCTCTCTGTTTAGCATCTAAACAAAGCGCCTGCCGTCTCGTCTGTTGACTTGGTTTTGTATTTTTATTTTTATTTTGGATTGTTGCAATTTACAATTAGCAACGCTTTGTTCCGGCTCAAGTGCGCACTTGCCACGCTCAGTGTGAGTGTGTGTTAAGTGTATGTGTGTGTGTGTGTGAGTGCGCGCGACGTACTTGAGTCGCTGTTGATGTTATTGTGATTGTCGCCATTGCGCTGTTGTTGTTGACAAGTTGCCGCCCTTGCCTGGTGCCACGCCCACGCCCGGCGACCGAGTCTAATGCATTTGTTTACTTGCACTTAGCAGTTTGTTGTTGCTTGTTTTTGGTTGTAGTTGTTGCACCTGCATTTGCATTTGGCTGAGAATTTGCACTGCCGCCACATGCTTTTAATCAAATGAAAAATGTTTGATTTCAATTGGCTTTCTGATTGTTAATTGTATTACTTAATCTAGTCTAGTTTGTTTGTTTTGTTCCGAATTCACTGTGACTTCAAAGGGGAAAAAGAAAAACGAAGTGCGCAATTTTCCGAATCATTTATTAGGGGCGCAAATTGTTGCCTTAATATCCGGTTTGGCCCCTTGGCAAACAAATAATTTACTTACGCCTCATTGGCCCCTGGCCAGGCAAACACAATACAAGTACAACCAGAACCGAAACAACAACAACAACCAAACAGACAGCACCACACATACACACTCACACGCACACACACACACGCATTGAAAACAGAGCCAAGCAAACAGATTGCGAATGGAAATGTAAATGTAAATGTGGCGACAGAAAATCCTACAACAATGAGGCGCAGTCAGTGCCGGAAGTGCGTGTGTATGTGTGAGTGTGTGTATCTGTCATTATCGAGCGCCAATTCTATGCATCTATGTATGTGTGTCTGTGCGTGTCATTTGCCTTAGTTTAATAACGTTTGTAATTCCATTGGAATTATGTATTTGGGTTTTGCCTCATTTGCGTCTCTGAATTATTTAGCATATACAGGGACTGGGAGAATACGGGTAATATAATTTATAAGAGACATATCTCCATTTAATTGAATGTGGTAATTTCAACTGTTATAAAATTAATTGCTTAATTGGCATAGAGAATAGACCAAGTGGAAAACCAGATTTTAGTTTCAATAGAATTTCAAAACATTGAATCCAATTAAATTGTATAGGATATCATTTTTCAAGGATTGGATATCATTTTATTTATTTATTATGTTTTTTTTTTTTTTTGCTTATTTTTTATTTATAAAATTGAATATTAAAAACATGTAAAAAGAACAAATACTAGTGACCAGAAAGCTCAAAGTATTATACCCCATTAAATAACAAATTAATATAAAAGTTTTACAAAGTTGAAAATTTCCAAAAAAATGTTTAAAAAAAAAAAAAAAATGAAAATAAAGAAATAAATTTAATTTAATTATGCAAAAATGTAGAAAATATATAACTAAAGGATAATAAGATATAGGTACTAAAAGTAATTTACAATGAAAAAAAAAAAAAAAAAAAGATAACACAGAATTTTGCTAAATAAAAAGATTGAACTTTAACAATTTAAATAAAATTGCAAATTTATATATATATATTGTATATATCGTTATTACATTAATATTTGTTTGACTCATTTACAATATGAGCTAAATTTATTTCAGACTACATTAGACAGACACAAAAAGTATAATATAGTATTTAATAACAGCATAGCTATTAAATCTCATTATCATTACACAAACTCCAAACCTCTGTCCTAAATAGCTCAACAACACAAACTATGTACAACATATACATATAGAACGAGTATGAAAAACTGAACTTTATAATTACAAAATATAGTCTGAGGCAAGTCTTTAGGGCAAGAACTATTCTCATACCAAAAACCAACTATGGAATTTCTGATGAAAGAGATTATGTGGGTTGTTATTTAGACCAACTTTAAATTCTTAAAAAGGGACGGTGAAAAGTGTAACTTAAATATGCACTAACGAGTGTAAAACGAAATTGAGTTAAACTTGAGGAATACCCTATAAAAAGTATATACAATTGTATATTAAAATATATTATTTTAATTAAGAATTCTAATTTAACTATGTCAGTCTTTTAATTTTGTTTGTCAATTTTTGTGACATATACCGATTATTGAATTCATCATGGCATAACCCATGCTTGTAATGTTTTATAGGGTATTTGTAATATATAGAGTCCATTACATAGCCTGCATATGTTGCTATATAAATAAATAATTTTACGCAAAAAACGGACTAACACAAAACTGGGCCACATTATAAACACAACACACACATACACACTCACACACACGCACACACACTTGTTGGCTGGCATTTGGTTGCCACAAAATGTGGCACGCTATGGGAAAACCTTCTTTTATTTTGCTTTCCTTCTCCTTTGTTATTTGCTCGATGTTGTTTTTTTTTTTTTTTTTTTTTTTTTTTTGTGCCGGAAAAAAAAGAAATAAAAACTCTTCCATATTTTCATTAAACGCAACACACAGACTAACCGTACTGACCAGCCTGCCACGCCCCATGTCCATGCCCATACTCAGTGCAGAGTCAGCTTGCGGACATCAAAAAATGATTACACTTTCTTTTTTATCCCCATGCAACAAGCGAAAGTTTTACAAAATACGTATACGCCACGTGCGCCTCGGCTGTCAAATGACGTCGATGCAGGCATCCAATGGCGCATACTTTTCATAGCGAATGTAGGGGAACGGGGCGAGGCAAAAGGGTAGTATAGTAAAATGTCCCAAGTAATTTTACACATGAGTAGCAAAGGCGGAAAAAGAAAGCGCAAGAAAAGCGAACAACAAAAGCGAAAAATGCCATGAAATCAGCCAATGATGCAGGAAAGGCCTGAAGGAAAAGCAACAACAAAAGGAAAAAATAGTCCAAAAAGCCTGACCATCATATGCCCCATGTGCTGAATATGATGATAATGATAATGAGCGGTCAATTAGGGCTATCTTCATTAGTAATGCAGAAGCATTGAGACTGACAGATGCTCTAATCTTGATTATAGATTGAAATGACGAGGAGGCAATAAGCACGACTAATGATAATGATAATGATAATAATGAATAGATGAACTTTCGGATAGAAACTGTGTAGGACGATATTAACAATGATTAACAATTATAATAATGAGGCATGGATTAGCACATATAAAGAAAGGAAATCTAGACTGTGAGATCAACTTTTAGATGAAACTTAGATGACCTGTAACATATTATATAATTATTGATTATTATATTTTTTGTAAATTCAGATACCACATTAAATTGAATAATATTGAATATGATAATGATTATGTGCAACTATAAGGACTATACAACCAATAAAGAAGTTTATATAGAATAAAATGGATCCAATTCGATAGAGTTTTTTTTTTTTTTTTTTTTATAAAAGAAAGCATAAAGCTTAGTTAGTCAAAATTTATTCGAATGAAATTATATTAATTCGTTCTAAAAGTAAAGGGTATCGGGAATGGGATTACCGAATTTAGCATATAATGATTTCTCTGCTTATTTTTTGCTACTAAAAAAAGTGAAGTCAAAACCCACTTAACAAAAAAAAAAAAAAAAAAAAAAAAAAAAAAAAAAAAAAAAAAAAAAAAAAAAAAAAAAAACAAACAAACGGAATAAATAAATAAATATTTATAATAATTAATTAAATAAAGAAATAAACAAATAAATAAAAAAAAAAATCAAAGGAATTTAGAGATGTCCCCTTTTGCTTCACACTTTGACAGGGTATTCGAAATGGGATTTGCGTATTAAACACTACGGTTAGTCGAGTTCTCAGCGTTGCGAGTGCAAAGTGAATTACAATTCCAATTTTGCAATAATTTCCAATTCAATGGGCTTCGAGTAGTGCTTGGTGCTGCGGTAATCCTCTTGGACAATTTTACCCGAACATATGCGCGTGTATATATGTGTATGTATGTGTGCATGCGCATCATTTCCATTTGCGACATGTGCGCTTTGAACTATGCAACAGTTTTTGTGCAGCGCTTCATTTCCCGTTGCTGTTGCCAAATTGATTGCGAATCGCAGGCGACAACACAAATTGGCGTTGATGTTCTATCCCGCATATGGGCGCGGGCCGTCTGTGCGGTGTGGGCGTGGCAATAGGCTAAAGCCAAACAGCGAACGGGCTGAGTTTATTGGATTGGCACGCTGATTGATAACTGAGAGCAGATGGCTGCCGACATTCTGAAGGACTTTTTATATACACTCGTTGAGAGTCCATGCACTTTGTTGGACAGTTTGGAAGCTGTAAAGCAACTAAGTCGCAAGCCTACATAGTTGCTTCAGTTATGAGTGTTTGTGTCTGTAGGACATTTGGACTTCGGCTTGCCGAAGAAAAAGCTCGTTTTCGTCTTTTTTCGTATTCAATGGGCCTTTGGACTGTGGGGTAAGTACTTGAGCTATATCAAAACTAACTTTGTATGCGTGCCCTGTTGTGTGTCCTGTAAGCGTGCGTGTGCGTGTGTGTGTATATGTATGTGTCTGTGTGTTTATCCCTGCCTCCTGTTGCTTTTCCTGCCAAAGAAATCACTTTCAATCTATGCTGTAACTTCGTCCACGACTTGACCATCTATTTCAATGTTTGCCAAGTGGCCTCTAACAAGCGACTTATCTTTATTCCACTACGTGACCCATGAACTGCGACCCGCCGCCTAAACTTATTTAGCATGCGATATGAACGTCCACGCCCGCTGCAAGGAGAACGTGCCCAGCTTGTGCGGCTGCGATCATACGGAGCGACGTGGCCGCATCTATCTCGAGATAAATGTCAAAGAGAATCTACTCACAGTGCACAGTAAGTACGGTCAAAGAGCGACCCCCAATTCAAGGCGCATAACGAGCAGCAACAGCTCTCAAGTGTCTGCCATCTCCCGTCGCAGCAATACAAATATAAAGCGCTTAAGTTTTAACCAATTATGGCGCCCAACAAGTTAACCAAAAGCCCCCCACTCGCAACTTTACGAAAGCGGATAGCAGAAACGTAATAAAAATTATGAAAAGCTGTCGCAAAGTTTTCTTTTCTATTTTGAACTAAGAAGGCGCTTAAAATGTCGAGCAGCTCAGCCTCTTCTGCTTTTCATAACTGTGAAGTATTACACTCCCTAACAGGTTTACATACTTTTCGGCTACTCGAATAATTATTATTCCAATGTTTTCTTTTGTATGATCTTAGCTTAAATTAATAAACAGCGCTGTTTTATCCATTATTCCAGTTAGCTTAAAAATACGTATTTTCCGCTTTTAGTTAAAAATAAAACAAAATTATTTTCTGTCCAATTAAGATCCCATTAGGAATAAATATGATTTTTGTGAAAGTTAAAGACAGATTGAACTTATGTCTGAGCATTTGTTTGGCTTTTTAGCTTCAACTCCAAAAGCATATTCAAGAAGTGGCATTGAATGTTTACTTAAGCATTTTAGTTTGTGAGCTTATATTCCTTAAGCAAGTTTTCCAATATCAAACTTTTGAAAAATTAAAACAAAAAGCCTTTCATACAATTTATACTCACTCGGCTGCCTAAGGCCTTGGGACTGACGATAAAACTAAAAGAAGCCTCAGTTATTTATTTAGCTCACTGCTTAAGTTCAAAGCCTGCGCAGGATTGAATTGAATATGCAAGCCTCGGCAGTGCCTTGGGGAGATGATAGCGTCCCTCAGCTGAGGCGCTGGCAAATTGCTTATGATTTGCATTAATTCATTATGAAGAAAAACTCTCCACACAATATGCCACATAATGAATACTAAAATGCAGTTGCTAAACAAAAGCGTGTTAAAAATATCCTGCGCCAAAGCAGGAGAAGCAGGAGCAGATGAAAAGCAGCCGAGGCACATGAACAATAACAACGGCCAGGATAATGCGCTAGCATATTTATTAGATTTTGCGAATGCAGTGAACAAAAAAAAAATCTGTCTATGGTCACGTTTCTGCTTGCAGTCAAGGAGGGTCGCAATCTCATACCCATGGATCCCAACGGCCTGAGCGATCCGTATGTGAAGGTGAAGCTGATACCAGATGACAAGGATCAATCCAAGAAGAAGACGCGCACGATCAAGGCGTGCCTGAATCCCGTGTGGAATGAGACGCTTAGCTAGTAGGTTCCACCTGTCACCTATACATTCCCCGATAATCCAAAGCTTTATTTTCACAGTGATCTGAAGCCTGAGGATAAGGATCGACGCATTTTGATCGAGGTCTGGGATTGGGATCGCACTTCCCGTAATGATTTTATGGGCGCCTTGTCCTTTGGCATCTCGGAGATCATCAAGAATCCCACCAATGGCTGGTTCAAGCTGCTCACCCAGGACGAGGGCGAGTACTATAATGTGCCCTGTGCGGACGATCAGCAGGACTTGCTCAAGCTCAAGCAGAAGCCGTCGCAACGCAAGCAGCCAATGATGCGCTGCGACACACACACACAGTCACAGTCTAAAAAGGACATGATAAGGGCGACAGACTTCAATTTCATCAAAGTGCTGGGCAAGGGATCGTTTGGCAAGGTAAGCGAGGATCTTCTTGTTTGTCACAGAATTCTTTAAGACTTTCGACTGCTGCAGGTGTTGTTGGCGGAGCGCAAGGGCAGCGAGGAGCTGTATGCGATTAAGATACTCAAAAAGGATGTGATCATACAGGACGACGATGTGGAATGCACCATGATTGAGAAGCGTGTACTGGCGCTGGGCGAGAAGCCGCCGTTTCTTGTCCAGCTGCACTCATGCTTTCAGACAATGGTGCGTATGCGTGATGTTCGAATAAAACAATTGTTAACAATTAATCTATCACACAGGATCGTCTGTTCTTTGTCATGGAGTATGTGAACGGTGGCGATTTAATGTTCCAAATTCAACAATTCGGCAAGTTCAAGGAACCCGTTGCCGTGTAAGTAAAACTTCTCCGTTTGTCAAACCGAATTTCCAATATTCCTTTGGTTTCTCACAGCTTCTACGCTGCAGAAATAGCGGCTGGACTTTTCTTTTTGCATAGCAAGGGCATTTTGTATCGGGATCTGAAGCTGGACAATGTGCTCCTAGATGCGGATGGACACGTGAAGATCGCCGACTTCGGCATGTGCAAAGAGAATATCGTGGGAGACAAGACGACCAAGACCTTTTGCGGCACTCCGGACTACATAGCGCCAGAGGTGAACAAATTGAATAGAATATAGAAAATAAGAATTTTCCTATATACCATTTGTCCTATATGCAGATCATTCTGTATCAGCCGTATGGCAAGTCTGTGGATTGGTGGGCCTATGGCGTGCTGCTCTATGAGATGCTGGTGGGTCAGCCGCCCTTCGATGGCGAGGATGAGGAGGAGCTATTCGCGGCCATAACCGATCACAATGTGTCCTATCCCAAGAGTCTCAGCAAAGAGGCCAAGGAGGCGTGCAAGGGCGTGAGTTACAATAGGAAATCGAAAGGGATTTCTATATACCTAACGCAATGAAATATTTTTCAAGTTTTTGACCAAGCTGCCCAGCAAACGTTTGGGCTGTGGCGCCACTGGCGAGGAGGATGTGCGTTTGCATCCCTTTTTCAGACGCATCGACTGGGAAAAGATCGAGAATCGTGAGGTGCAGCCGCCGTTCAAGCCAAAAATTGTGAGTTGAATTTAAAATGTTATATTGATAATATAAAATAAAATAATTACAAATTGCCCTACTTACGCTTCTGTCACAGAAACATCGGAAGGATGTGTCCAACTTCGATAAGCAATTCACATCAGAGAAAACAGACTTGACGCCCACGGACAAAGTGTTCATGATGAACCTGGATCAATCGGAATTTGTGGGTTTCTCCTATGTGAATCCCGAATATATTGTCAGCCCATAAGCAGGTGCAGATGCAGACATCGGCGAAAGACAGACAACCGGAAACAGGAAACGGAACCAGCAAGTTGTGTCGTCAGTTGATATTAATTCTTAATTGAAGCAGAAAGGAAAAGGAAAAATGAAAAGACATCATCATAGTTACTTTCCGTTGTTATTATGTCATATCGTAAATTGTTAACTATGCTAAGCGTAAGCAATATTTTGTTGATTTTTGTTGTTCTTATTTATTGCTCATTTAAATCTTTAACTAATTGTTAGGCACTCATGCACGTACACTAAGCTATATTATGCTCGCGGCATTTATATTTAGTTGTTAACATCAATTTTCATCATTGTTAAGCATTTGCTTCTCATTGAAATATCAAACCAAAAAAAAAAAAAAAAAAAAAAATCGTGAAAGTAAGAAAATTTAAATCGTGTACAATAAAAACTTTTATTTTATATACCATTACCCAACGCTTTTCTCTTTGCTGAAAACTTTATACCTAACTAAGCAAAACTTATACTCTGTCATCAATTTCCATATTTCCATATTTCAATTTTCCGAACCAACTTTTCCAATTCAACCTTCCAAATTTGAATTTTAAATTTAGAGTAAAGTAACAATTAAAATAATCAAGGAATTAAATAGATTTTGTCTTTCTTTTTTAACAAACATCTCGATGTGAAGACACAAATTTAAAGCAAATTAAAAAATATATCACATGCCCGACCTAGTAGCTCTGTCTCTTTGCCAATCTGTCAAGACTTTCGCTTTTCTTTCTTCACACACATTTCGCAATCAGATGAAGAATACAGGATTTTAAACGTTGTTCGATTATAATGTTCGCCCCTGCATTATAATCAAATCGAAATATGCGTTTAATCAGCTTTCACCCAGACAATTTAGCATAGGAAACAAACTTTTCTTAATTTCAAATTTCCATAGCATACTTATGTGCGAATTTTCCATTGTTCACTTTCGACATTCTTGTGGGTGTGTATAAATATATAAAATATATAATAAGCTATTCAAAAGCAATGAAAACACAAACAATTTAAATTACTTATTTCATTTCGCATAAGCATATATAATCCGATTATATATTAACATATAAACGGCATAGAGTCTCAATGTACCATAATAAATAATTAAATGAAGAACAAATGAAGGCAAAACAAGTTGCATAGCAATAAGTGAAGGCTAAAACAAATATTTAAGTATAGTCTATTAGTTTGAATAACAAGAACAAGAACAAAAATTAACAAATTTTTTGCTCTTATTTGCGCTACCCAAAAGTCTAACTATAGATGGGACATGCCTAGATGATGTATACACATATTATCTATGGGTTGAAACTTTAGTACCTAACTAAAAGAAAACTTAGCAGCTAAAACTACTGTTTAGCTATTGAGAAAAGACAATCTACTGTAAGCTATATATATATATACATGTATATATTATATCAAACACTTCAGCTACCGAAATGAAGATAACGCTAAAAAATATTACTTAAAGTTTAATTGCAATTCGATCATTTTGTGTAGCGCTACCTAAGCTAAGCTTTTGTGCCTCTCTTTCTTTCTAGACGCTTAAATGATTCGAAAAACTCTGAGATTTTACGAGTTTAAAAGCAAAATACATAAAAGTACATACATAGAGCAAATATTGATATTCTAATAAAATATATAGTTATATGTGAAGAGAAAGTCGTCTAGAAATTTATCATATAGCAACTCAGTAGCCAAGCTATGTGCTAAATGCTAGGGCACAAAAACTAAAAACTAAATTAAAGTAGTTGGAGATTTGTTTAAAATCTAACATAATTCATATAAATACATATATACTCGTATATAAATGTATAACTCCGAACTTGAAGCATTTAACAAAGAGTTTAATTCACAACAGTCAAATATCTAATATAAATCGTAAGAAACAACATATATAGTATATATACATACATATATATAACTAAATTTTGTGACTACATATAACTATGACGAGTACCACTTAAAGTTCAAGTTCAACCGAATGTACTCTTCACATAGAAATTTGCTCGAATATGATTAACACAATATATGTATTTACAATATGAAAGAATATGATATATATATACATATATATGTGTATGTGTGCGTGTGTAGAACGATTAACTAAATATATAAAATTAATGAAATGATTACTTTAATGAATTTGATGGCAACAAAACAAAATTTCCAAGTCTGTTTAAAATATTGAAAATATGTATGCATTAACATTTAATATTTAACAGTAAACATTTAACATTTAACATTTAACATTAACTTTAACATTTAGATAACAATTAATTTTACTATGAAGCTATACAAAATGCATATACATATGTATGTATGAATATATACATTTATTGTTAGTCTTTGATTTTTAATTTATATAGCAAAACATTTTTACAAAACATATTTAAATGATTTTTTAAAGTATTTTTGAAAAACTCATATGTGTGTGTTTTTTTAAATCGCATATTTAATTATAAAAACAAAACAAAACTAAAAACAAGCATTAATTTAGTACAAAGTCAACAACAAATTACAAAAATATATGTATATCAAATCAAATAAAAATCTCGATGTTTGCCGTAAGCATACTATATATATATATATATATATATATATATATATATAGAATACAACAAACCTAAATTCAACTTAATAAATTACTTCAAACAAAACAAAATGCCTAAAGTTCCGTCATTATTGATAGAAGCAAACGCTCACTGCTATTCCACTGAACTAATATGATATAATCGGTTGAAAGACAACGTAAGTATCATAATAGATATACGACTCCCTGTGTGTGCGTTATCCATAAATCCAATCAGCAACAACTACACAAAATACAACAGAACTAAATCAGAGGGAATGAGTAAACAATGTGTTGTCGTGCACACAAACGAATAGGAAATACACTATCAAAGGGATTGCTATTCACATACATATATTTCCACACATAAGTACATATATGATAGATTAGATACGCTGTAAAGTTTTATGTACTTTGTAATGAGAGCATATGCGTTTGCCGTTCGGGTTTGTGCTAAAATTCTTACATATAAATGTTTATTTACTGCCTTTCTTTGCGATTCTCATAGACTAAATTGAAGCCAATTGAAAATAAAAGCTAAAGGAGTTGGAAAATACGTACAATTCTCAGAAACTTAATATTGTGATTTGAAGATAAGAGTTAGAGAAGACATCTTGACATTTTGTAGACATTTTGTAAACGGAAGACACAAAATCGAACGTGATTTAATGAAATATATCGCTTAAATATATCTTTTTCTCTTTGTTCTAAGGAAGAACTGGAATTAAAAGTCAATAATTAACAGAATATGAACATACCTAAGAGCCTATTCCATCCTAGTTCAACTAGTGCTAGGGGCTTTATAGACAGTTGAGTGCCTGTTTATCGCTGATTGCTCACAAATTAACATTATGTGTGCGTAAACTATAGATAATCTTATCGGCTGAATTTGCAAATAATTAGATAAACATGTCGCTCGCACCTCTTCAGTAAGTCAGCAATCAGTCAGTTAGTCAGACATGTTGGAGTACTTTGTCCTGAATTTGACCAGTGGCAGAAACAGCTCGAATACCAGTACCCATACCAATACCAAATCTCAGATGCATGAAAACAATGAGTGCCTGTTCCAGCGTTCGACACCGTCCGTGACGTTATTCCTGATCTATGGCCTGGCTGTGCCCACGTTGTCCTCCTTTGGACTGTGCGCGAATCTAATCAACGGCGTGGTCTTCATGCGGCCCAAGATGACACCCTCGGCCTTCACGTACCTGGCTGCGTTGTCCTGGCTGGACTGCGCGTCCTGCCTGCTGATCACATTGACCGCACTCTCGCGCAGCTACTTCTACCGGAGTCCCGCCTGGGTGGCCTACGACTATCAGTGGCAGACGCCGCTCTTCGGCATCAGCACGGGCGCAGCGAATCTGATACTCGCCTTTGTCAGCCTCGACAGATTCATCTATTTGTCTCGGTTTGCGGCCAGCAATGGAGCACCCAGGTTTTGTCGTCGCAAGGTGGCTCGCCTAATGATCTGCTTGGCCATACTCATCTCGGTTCTGCTCAACATACCCTACTTTTTCTGCTTTGTCGTGGACTTGAACACAGCCACTTGCCATGTCACTAATTTTTACTACTCCAAGTGAGACCTGTCCTGTCATTCTTGTTATTTATCATTATCATTATATTATTCATGAATTTGTTTCACAGATTATATCAGGTGCACAACTGGTTCTCGTTCACACTGCTGGCGGTCACTCCTGCCATATGCCTGCTCCTGGGCAACGCGGCCATCATCATCGCCTTCAGGCGTTGGACGAAGCAGGGCAAACGCTGCCAGCAGAGCTGCTCCCGTGACAATGGGCGTAATACGAGTAAACGTTATCAGGTACTGCTCTAGCTACCTTCATTTAGCAATTATATATGCTCAGCCTTCCTCTCCATTGCAGCATCAAGTAAAGCTCACCATCAGCATTCTAATTGTCATCACTTTATATATGGTTGGTGAGCTGCCCGCGCACATGACGTCGAGAAAGAGTTCTCTGAATCTACTCTTTGGCGGCGATACGAGTAAAATGAATCCGGAACTGATGGAGCATCTGGAGGTCATATTTATTACACTCAATGCGCTGCAGCTGAGCATGAACATAGTGGTCTACGCTGTGATTAATCCCAGCTTCATGCCCGAGTTCTTTCTCTGCCTGCGCGGCGCATCGGATGTTTGCTTTCGCTTCTGCTGCTTGACCAGCTTGAGCCGCGGCTGTCAATGGTGCTGGAGTTGGCGTCGTCGTCGTCGGCAGCCGCACGCCGAAGAACATGTTGTTAGCACCGTCGAGGCACAGCAGCTGCCGCCGGACCAGGCGCCTCAATGTGGCTGCGAGAGCTGGAGCAGCGATTCCGGCTGCATGGATGGCACACACTGCAAGATGGCAGAGGGCACGTTCACCTTCCTTGATGATTACCAGACGGAGCAAGACGCGCAACCACAGCCATCAGTTTTCATCACCAATGCCAGTGGGTGCATGCAGCAGCAAACTCCGCAGGACAATGAGGATATCATCTCCTGCGCCATGTGATCTTAAGTAATACAGTTACTGGAATACCTATGCATATTGTACATATGTATAATTAACTTTTTAACTTATGAATTTTAATTATCTATCATTTCTAATTGTAAGTTATTTTATTATTTATTTATAATCAATTAGGTCTTTTATTTTATTATTTATAATTTATAATTACTTTCAGTTATTTTATTTTATAATTTTTAATAATTGATTTGTGTTATTTTATTTGTTTTTTACATTTTTCAATTCAATAATTTCAGCATTTCCAATCCATTTGTGTTATATGCAGCCTTTATTTATTTAGCTATTTAGAAAATCAATCAAAATAAATACGACTTATCAGATTGGTGCATCTACGAACAGTATTACACAGAACAGTATACGAAATACTTCTTCCGTAGTTTAGCTTATAAGGAGTAAGCTTTACTAATAAATAAGCTTTAATTATATACAATTTAAACTTAAGCTCAAAAGCTAATGAAAATCCAAATTACAATGAGATTTTCACTAAAATTGATCTTAAGGATCAATTTTGTTCATGCTATAAAGAAAGTTTTCAATTGGACTTTATAATAAACGAACATCCATTTACATAAGTAGTAAACTAATTTGTAATGAGTTGCGCCCCTAAACTGAATGTTTGAGTTATTTACAAAGATGTTTATCATCATAAAAATGTTCTCAATCTGAGTGTTGATACATTGACAAGAACATTGAATAAATTTATCTTGATCGTAAGAGAAATCTTCAATATAAATATTGAATCGAACTAAATCGAACTATAGAGTCGCTCAATCTATTTGCCCTGCAGCTTGGATAGAAAGTCCATTAAAAATTGATGGCGCATTCTTATCTCGGACTCGTTGCGATTTTTCAGCTTAGCGCCTATGCGCTTGATTAGATGCTGACGATCCCGGGCACCACGTTTCATCTCAATGAGTATCACTTTGTCCTCTTCTCGCGTCCAAGCTGTCGTTAAGCTGGGCGGAACTGGCGGCGGTTTGAATATGTCGTCTTTAGGGTTAGCCGTTGCCGTCTCCGTCTCTGTCTCCTCCTCGGCGCAATTGGCTAGGCTGGCCACCACGTCCAGTTTGCAGTCCTCGTCACTATCGAACTGCGTCGTAATCACATGCTGTGGCGTGCTCCCAGAGCTCGCCGGAGTCGCATTCAGTTCATCGTTGGACTGTTCAATGTCCATTTTAATGGCAGGGAGGGGTTGCTGGGAGAGCGAAATATCAGACTCCATGCCACCATCCATTGCATCGGCCAAGGGCTTTTTATCATCCTGCGAATTGAGTTCCTGTTTGGCAGCGGATGCGGAAGTGCTTGGGTTCTTGGCTTGCGCTATGATCTGTATGTCCGCCTTGGTGTCCGTGTCGCTGCTGTCCTGGCTGATCAGGGTGCGTAACCTCTTGGCAAACTCAATGGCCGGAGAGGCGGGCGCCGGCGCTCGCGCCGCCGGCTCATGTATTACCACCATGGGCTGCACATTGTAGCGCGGACGCGCCTGGCTCTGATTCGAAGGCGAACGCACCTTTTTGCTGGGCGACTTGCGTTTGTCCTGCTGTGGCGAGGCACCGCTCGCTGAGCCAAGCAGCGGACTAAGTCCAGATAGAGGAGACACATTATTTGCCGTCTGGCGACGCGGTGAAGTTTCGCCAAAATTAATCGCCGTCTTCTTCGCGTGCGCATGATGAGGGCCATGATGATGGCCCACATTAGGCGTGCTGCTGTTGGCATTATTATAGCTGCTGCTGCTATAATAGTTGGAATTGAGTCGCATTGCATGTGCTCTCAATGCCACGTCATCGCACATGTCCAGGGAGGAGCTGCTATTCTCCTCGTCTCCAGTGGTGGTGTCTATGACCAATGTTCGACTGGCATCATCCTCTTCACTCCGCTCCGCTGCATCATCGCTATCCACAGTGATAGCAGCGCTTATCAATTTCTCGCCCTGAGCTCGCACGCCATGGGCACAGGTCAGGGTGCTGCTGAGCGGCTCGAGGCACTGCTCATCATATAGGCTGGCAGCGCGAAAGGATAGTTTAGCGGGCAACATAGCTCTGGTGCCATAAAAGATGCGTCCATTGAGATACTTCAATTGACAGCCCGGAGGTTTGCCCTGCGGCGGCGAATCCTCCTGCAGATCTTGTATGGTTTCTGCAAATGAGCCACTCGTGTTGCCCAGAACCTCGTGCAGAATCATGGTCTCCGCTGGCGGCAGCACACTAAAGTAAATAATCATAATTAAATATATAATATGCATACGAGTTTTAGTACGAACCGCTTTGGTGGCTTGGCCTGTGGAAATTGCTGTACAAACCAATCGCATAGGAACTGATTGCCTTTCAGCAGTGGCAGGATCTTTGCCTCCACCTTCTTCATGCTCACGCTGGGCAGCTCGGCCAGTTCGCTTAGGCAGGCATAGATCTTGCGCACTTGGGCCGGCTGTTTAGAAAAGTATATGTTCAGCTTGTTGATAAAGTTGCTCGCGTTGGTGATCATGAAGTACTCGAAGTATTTGCCCAGCTCAGCGGCCTCGGCAGGTAGCAAAAAATTGAGAAACACCTCCGCCAACTCTGGATAATCGGGCAGCAGTAATTTTTCCACTTTCTAGACATATCAATATGTATAATATATAAGTAGAGTCAGGGAGTGTGAAAGTACAGCACTTACCAAATACAAATCGGCAACCTTATCCTGCTTGGGGTCGAACGTTTGCAGCAGATGATTGAACTTGTGACAGTCGTCCATGCGATTGGAGGACAGCAATGCCTCCTCCACTTTCTCATAGAAGTTGTAGGCAAAAGCTAGAATTACAGTTAATTAAAATAAGTTGAACAGAAGTAACTCTTTGGATTATCTTACTGGCATCCTTGCGATTGCGCTCTTCTGGACTATCCGGCTGCAGCATGTGCCGCAGCATCTCCTCCTGTCGGTTGGCTCGTCGTGCCGCCTCCTCGCTACGTTGTCGCTTTTGCTGCGGCGTAGACTCCGGCGTACTCTTGGTTTCGCAAAACATTTTCAAATCCACTAGCAGCTGTGTGTACAGCTCGAGCGCAAAGAAACGTCTGTGATAGTATTGCACAGGCGGTGAATGGGCGTAGAGCTCGCCCTGCTGCTGCAGGTAGCTGGCGTAGCTGGTGATTAAGGTTTGACAGCGCCGCTGCAGCTTACGGCGCAATCGCTGCCGCAGAACGTGGTAGCGACTTCGCGGCGGTGTTGTCGACGATGATGTGGTGGCTGAGCGGCGTGGTCGCTGCTGGCGAGACACAACCAAACGCTTATAAATTCGACAACGAGCTCGTTTGGCACTGCCTGCAGAGCAACTTAAGCTGTTGGTGTTTAGTTCCTCGTTCTTTTGCTCCGCAGACTTTTCCAATTCAACGATCTTTACGCTCTCTGTTTCAGCATCAAAGCAGAGATTTACAGCGGGCGGGGCATCCTTTGGCAGTGGCGGCAATGGGGGTGGCAACGCCAATAAACTGCACTCGCTGCTTGGTTGAAGGCTGCTATTTATGTTCGCCACATTGCTAGCGTAGTCCGTGGGCTGAAATGGCACAGAGACGCCGGCTTTGAAGGCATTGGCTCCTAGATCGCTCCCGAAGACGTAATTTACATTAATGGTCAGCGAAGACAAACTTTGCTCGCCGGATCGGCGGGATCGCTTGGGGTGTGAACTGGACGGGCTTTTCTCCTCTGCTTTTGTTTTTGTAGGTGTGGCAGACTGCGCCAAGCTAGTGACACTGCCATATGGCGCTGAAGGCTCGCCAAAACTGTCGGGCAACAACAAATCTTCTCCCACCGCCTCGCGAACAAACTCCAAATACGACGTACTCGCTGCTGATGAGGAACGTGTTGAAATTTGTTTATGGTTGCTGCGACGGGCGCGTTTGTCGTTATTCCAGTTTTTCTGCAACAATATTTACAATTTACATCACGCAAACTATATTTCTTTTGCAAAAATGTTGCATATTTACAAACTTTGCTACTGTAAACAGCAGAATTGTTGATATTTCATCGATATAACATGTTGAGTTTTCGATAATAAAGCGGGAAACTTATGGATTCCTTCAAGTGTTGCTCAAAATCAGAAAAGGCTAAACCGACTGCAAGCTATATTTTTGGCTAAAATACTAATAAAATGTTCAACACATATTCCAATATTTATAATTCAATTAAATTACTGCTAATTAATTTTTGAATATGCTAACAATTTACAAATTTTAAATTTAAATCATAAAACCGCTATGTGAAACACTGGACATGGAATTCGTGTTCGTAAACAGTCAGTGATGGCCGACGTTATTAATCGTCTATCGATTACACTGAAAATTCAAGTAGCAAAGACAGAGAGTGTTATCGCTCTTCTACACATCACTTGGCGTAAGAGCGAAATAGAAATTTTTTGTTTTCAATTAATTTTGCCATTAAAAGCAGTGGAACTAGTCAAAACTGAACGGTTTTCAATTTCAACAGATACTGCCGTGACCATAACCTAATCAGAAGATCCAAACAACGCCGTTGGAGCAACAGCTGGCAGCTTCAACAAAAACTGACCACGTCACATAGAGTTCACATTCCGCTTTCCCAAACAAACAAACAAAATGAGCAAAGTGACATTTAAAATAACACTCACGTCGGATCCTAAGCTGCCATTCAAAGTGCTCAGCGTGCCTGAAGCAACGCCCTTCACAGCTGTGCTGAAATTCGCCTCCGAAGAGTTCAAGGTGCCCGCAGAGACGAGCGCCATCATCACAGACGACGGCATTGGGATTAGTCCTCAGCAGACAGCGGGCAATGTGTTTCTCAAGCATGGCTCCGAGCTGCGTCTGATACCCAGAGATCGTGTAGGCCACTAACTGACCACTTAGACCTATTATTTTTGTATTCATGTAACATGTATAGAGATTTTCCCCGCTATTAAATTTGTAAAGCTCGCAAACATAAAATGAGCTTTCAATCATTTTCTAGTTTTCAGGGATTTCCATAAACTCTAATTAATATTAGCCAACTACTGTACAAAATGTAGACTTTCTAGATTTTTATAGAGACTTGTGTACTTACCTCAATGTAATACTTCCAGCCACTTGGCAGCAAATCGTATTGTTCCCGCGGCGTACGCACAATGCCGCCCTCGAAGCCTATCAGGACTTGATTGACGGGCGGTGCTCGCTCGTGGTCAAAGTAATATTTGACCGGATTATACTGTTCCATGTCGCAGAGCTCCTGAATCTTGGCGAACACTCGGCGTGCCTGTTTGCCATGTATTAGATCTTTCACCATGCGGTTGCATGCAATGCGTATGGGATCTGCGCCCTTCCTCACCGGAAACTCGGCACATTTGATTGCCTTAATATACTTCTCAAGACCCATTGCCATGAGTTGGTATTCCGACGGGGCATAGGCGGCGAATTGGACAGTTCGTGGCTGGAAAGCCATGCGCGGCAAATACTGTGGATACATGAAGACCTTGCTATCGAGCATGAGATCCATGATGCGGGGCGGCAGGCGTGGCACTTGACGGGTATGACCATCACTGGAAAGTGAAAAAGGAATATGTTTAGTGGAATCACGGACAAGAAAAGACATGTTGCATGTTGTACCAATGCAATAAAGTCAACTGATTTTCCTACTTTCTGGGTGGAAATTAGTTAATCAAGATTGGTTAAAAATAAACGCAATTAATGGAGGATACTTTGCCATAAAGGAAGTAAACTCTAATCAGACTTGGCTACTTACTAATCAGCAAGAAGAAAGGACAGTATTCCGCTTGTAGCTAATGTAACGCTTTCTACAACCTCCTTGGCTACTTGATGAATGGGAATACATATGAATATAGGGCTCACAATTAGTCTGACATGTAATTCGTTAGTTATTTACTCCTTAGCTTATTTATTATATGGAATTCCTCAAACTCCACTCATTTCAATATAGTTCGCACTTTCTAATCAGAAATAGTTAGTATAAGGCTCTTAGTTACGAAAATACTTACGTTAGCTCCGCCTCCTTGTGTATGAATCGCATCATTGTTTGGTTCTCTTCCTTGTACTCATCGCTGCTGAGATCGTGCTCCCATTTGTTGATGAGCTCTATGGCCCCATTCAGATTCCAGCAATTGAAACTGGCGTCCTTGACAGCATGCTGCTGCAGCTCCTGCAGCATTTGTCTGGGCTTATGCGCCATCGCGTAGAGCAACGGATGCGAATAGGTCTGCAGAAAGGTCTGCGTCAGCATTTGGGTGTGTATGCGAAGCTGTTGCTGTAGCAGATCATGCTGCAACTGTGTGAATCCTTTGGCATTGCTCGGTGGCTCCACCGGAGCTGGCTTTACATGGCGCAAACTCTCAAAGTACGCCTCGTACTCGGAGTGTAAATGCTTGCGGATGGATAGATACTTGCAGGTGAAGTTGATGTCATAGGGCTCGGGATAATGAAATGAAACGGGATCTGGAGATGGAGCAGTAGGAGGTACAGCAGTAGGCGGAGCAATTTGTGGCTGACATTCACCATCTACCGGTAATACCTTGGCCAGCTGAAAGCAATTTCGTTGACCTGGCACAGGCACAGCTATCAGATCTGGAATATGTTGTCCAATGGCCTCCGAGGAAATGTTGACCACCGTATAGGAGCCATCAAAGTTGCTGCCATTCAAGGAATTCTCCGCGATGGGCACCGGTACCAGGCCGCAGATTGTGCTCGGCGTAGACATCAATTGAGGCTGAAACCTGTCCAATTCCGACTGATTTGCCATGGATACGTCCCCAGCCTCGACTGGGCCCTGTACATCAAAGTCTATTTGACGCGTCACTTGGTCGATGGGATTCAAGGGCAGCTGGACCTGGGCTGGCGGAGCGCTGATTGGTGAGGCCGGAATTACATCCGATTGATTTAAGAACTTTTGTGGTGTCTCCAATTCGATGGAGTCCAGCGAAACTCCCTCCTGCAGTAGCCCGGCAAACAGCTCAGAGACCAAATCTGTCAGCTCCTTCTTCGAGATATTTACATCACGCAGCTCTTCCGCATCCACGGGCACCATCTCAGCGGCAACATACTCCGGATCGTTGATCGGATCATCGTCATCGCCCAGAAAACTGTTGTCTATAGAAAAAAGCGGAAGAATGAGTGAGGGATTTATTCATTTAAGTAAATGTTTTTGATCGACTGAACCCGAAAACTATTTAAAGTTACTTTATGACCTGAGTTGATTTACGTATGACTAACTCATTTAAGATTAAAAAACTAACTGACTAATTAGCTGACCAATCATTGAATTATGTATTTTAATTGTCTGATTGACTGAACAAGAATGTATCACTGATTCATTACAAACTGACTGAATTGGAGTTTGATCAATGTAGCATATATTCACATATCACTTACTTAACGGCTTAGAGAAGTCAGTGAGAAACTGCATCCACTCGGCATCATTGGCCGTCATATCATATTCGGGCGCATCGCCCTGCTCCACATCTGGTGGCACAAACTCCGACTGTAAATCCTCGATTGTGGTCTGCTGCAAACAGAATTTGGAGCGCGTCCGCGTTGCAATGCGCGGATCTTCCGCATTTTTATCTGGCGGAAGCTTAAAACAGCCATCGGAGGTGAACTTGACAGGCGACTCCTCGTTGGCGGTTAGCGGCGTTTGTGGTGTGCAGGGATTCGAGTCGAGATCGGAGGCCGTGTTATTGGTATCTTCATCGGACTGAAAGTCAGATTTGATTTTTAAATAGAGTATACCTTTGTTAAGGGATTGTTACCCACATGAAAGTCGTCTTCCTTGAAGGTGTACTCTTCGTCCTCCTCGTCGGAGTGCAGATCCTCGCGGATTAGCACCTCGATTTCATTCAGCGGTGTCTCATTTAAGGGCGGAAGCGTTATGCCTGGCGTTCGATTGAGCTCTCGGGCTTTGGCGCGCGTTAATTTCGGCACCGAGGGCGTCTCTGTGATAATGATGGCACCACGCTGCTGTTGCTGTTCTTCTTCGTTGGCCGTTGCAGCCTCGCGCTTTTCCCTGGCCAACTCATCCTCAGCTTTCAGTGTAACCAGGGCCAGGACATGCTCATTGCGCACGACTCGGCGCACAACTTTGTGCATGTCCTCGCTGCTGATCGCATTGGCACGCGCAACTTTGCGAAGCCGTCGATCAATCTCTTTGACATCCTCTATGTTACAGTCGCCCACCTGCGAGTCGAGACTGGATCTGCGTTGCTGTGGATTCTCCTTTTCTATGCGCCGTCTTTTCCGAGGCTGTCGTTGCCGGCAGCTGCCTTTCGGCGTCGATTGGACACTATTGCTGCTGCTACTGCTGTTGCACGCCCGTGTGGGCGTTTTCATATCAGCTGCATCCCTTTTTTTTGAGCTGTTCGGCATGCTGCTGGTACATGCAGATTGGAATTTAAGTAAATTTCACAAGTTGAAGCGCACCAAAACAAAAGCGCTTCCAGTGTGTACATAAAATGCCGCCACTCAAAAATCGCCAGGGCTACTTTATCGATACAATATTTTTAATTTCGATATTTGCAGTTTTGTTTTATTTATTTATGACAATCTTTTTGTTTTTACTAGAGAATCTGCTATGTACGTACGTATTAAAATTTTATGAAGTCCATAAAATATATTTTCTTTTCAAACAGCCCTCAATTCATATTTAAATACTAATATCGATTACTGGTAACCAACTAACAACAGCTGGCATAAAATACCGCTTCTTTATTATCGAAATGACGTCGTTATATGGCTGCTGCTGTTAATGGCTTTGAGTGCATTTATAAAATGAATCAGTTGTGTAGACGAGTATTTTAAAATATTTATAAAAGAGCATCACATTTTTAAGATGAATAAATTACGTTGGTTAACTCAAACAACTTATTGTACCACATACTTTATTTTTAAATGTAATCTTCAATTAAGAAAAAATTAAATATTTGGCTACTCCAGTCAGTTCATACATTACTAGTTCAAGTTCGACTGACTGCAATGAACTATTTTGTTTAACATATTATCAATGTAAAGACCCAACTTGATTTTAGTTTAGTCAGTTTGTTGTTTTAAAATATAAATAATTTTATTTGTGTGTAATGTTAACTGCATATGAGCTGGCAAGTTGCAGTAAATCAGAGCGAAAATGCGCATCTGCATGGTATCGGACTTCTTCTACCCAAGCATTGGCGGCGTCGAAGAACATGTTTACAATCTCTCCCAAATGCTGCTCGCATTGGGTCACAAGGTGGGCGAAGTGCATCCAAATGGCAATAGGGATTGCCAGAAAATATCTATCTCTCTCCATATATGGATTTTTATATGTGTATATCTTATCTAATCTTTAGGTTGTTGTTCTGACGCACGCTTACGGGGATTGCAGCGGCATTCGACACATAACGAATGGCCTGAAGGTTTATTACCTGCCCATAAAGGTGTGCTACAATCAGTGCATCCTGCCCACTGCCGTCTGCAATGTGCCTATGCTGCGCGCTGTGCTGCTGCGCGAGCAAGTTGACGTAGTCCATGGCCATTCGGCGTTTAGCGCCCTGGCTCACGAGGCTTTAATGGTGGGCGCGCTGCTCGGACTGAAGGTATGAAATGAATCTGCTCAAATCTCTATATGTATTTATATATAATGCAACCACTCTTCCAATCTTGCAGACTGTCTTCACGGATCACAGCTTGTTTGGCTTTGCTGATCTCTCTGCTGCCTTAACGAACAAACTCTTGGAAATCACCTTGAGTATGGTGAATCATGCCATCTGCGTCTCGCACATCGGCAAGGAGAACACCGTGCTGCGTGCCTGTGTTGCGAAGCATCGCGTCTCTGTCATACCCAATGCCGTGGACACGGCGCTCTTCACCCCCGATCCTTCACAGAGACCCGACAACGGGGTCATAAACATCGTCGTTGCCTCGCGCTTGGTCTACCGCAAGGGCATCGATCTGCTGGCAGGGGTGATTCCCCGCTTTAAGAATAGCCCTAATATAAACTTTATAATTGTCGGGGATGGCCCGAAGCGAGATCTTCTGGAGGAGATTCGCGAGAAGACGAATATGCAAGACCGGGTCGAAATCCTAGGCGCTGTGGAGCATGCCAAGGTTCGAGACGTCCTTGTGCGTGGTCACATCTTTGTCAACACCTCCTTGACGGAGGCATATTGCATGGCCATAGTGGAGGCCGCTAGCTGTGGCCTACAAGTGGTGTCCACTAGTGTGGGTGGAATTCCCGAGGTGCTGCCCAATAGCCTAATACTGCTTGCCGAGCCAGACATAGAGGCCATCTATGCGGCGATATTGGTGGCCATAGATCGACATCGCAGCATTTGCAAGCCGGCTGCAAGAGAGGACGGCAGTAGCAGGCCAAGACGTAAGAGGAAAAAGAAAGGCTCAGGTGGAGGACAAGCGAATGGAGCTGCGATAGGTGCTATAGCAGTGGAAGCAGGCGCTGCAGGCGGTGGAGATGCGAGAAAAGCAGGTGCAGCAATAGTTGGCGATTATGCAGGAGCAGCTGCTAGATTAGCAGGGGTAGCAGGAAACGACTCTACAGGAGCAATAGGAGGGGCAGTGGCATCAACTGCCAAACAGGCGGAGCCTGTTCTCTGTCCGCACAGATGCAACGAGCTGGTGGAAACTCTTTACAACTGGGAGGACGTTGCCCAGCGCACAGTCAAGGTCTACGATCGCGTGCTAAAGGAACGAGCCTTTACGCTCAGCGAACTGATCTATTCGGTGTATCAGTGTGGAGCCTGGTTTTTGGCATTCCTAGTCGTTGCCCACTTTACGTTGCGCCTGATGGATCGCTGGCGGCCACGCAGTCGCATTGAGGCTGCCCACGAGGCCAGACGGAAGCCTAGCTAATGCTACATACATGTGTTCCAATAGAACTTCCACTTTATTGTTAGTATTGGTTATAATATAATAGATAATTTGTCAATTAGTTCAAATATACCAAGGTGTTCGCTATAACAGTTTCTGATAAGATATGGATTCGTTTTTAACCGATTAAAGTTACAGTGCTGTAAATAACATATTTTTTTCAATAGAATTAAAGAGCGCTAGGTTTTGAAATGATCTAGTAGTTTTCTGTTAATAAGCGTAATTGTATCATTAATTTCGATTAAAGTATTAATATCAAATATGGTGTCAACAGCCAGTTTTCTTTAAATAAATTTGGAGTATTATTAATTAATTACAGTCTCTAAAATAAGTCCCATCGGCATCAAAACAAAAATACTATCACTTAACAGTTTACTGTTAATTAACATAACAGAAATAGATGTTAAATAAATTCTACTTTCTTTAGAAAAGCAGAATTGCGGTTAACATTTTAATTTAAATTAACATAGCAGAAGAGCAAATGTGCGCCGCTTGAAGTTGGCTGCATCCGCACAATTGAATCTTTTTTACGCGCTTAAATCGATGACACAATTCAAATCGATAGCCTTGGTTTAGTCTTGAAACAAATGCGCTACGGTAAGGTTGTGTGCGCGCGTTAGTTGCGATCAAAGATATAATAATTAAATAGCGAAAAAGCCAGCGGGCAAATACACCAAACAACAATTGCGTGCAGTTTCCTATATGCCTATTTTAAATTTAAATCGAATTTATTATGACCACAAGCAATCTGCATACTTTATTAGAACAGTTCGTGGAAGCGACAATTCAAATGTTCTGCAAAATTGTTAGCGCGTAATTTTGTTCGTTCTGTGTGAAAAGTGCAAAATACTTGGAAATTTGTGAATTCAAGTTAACTGAAGAATTGGTCCATTTTATTGGGAAGCCCGCGCAGCATCCTATTGGCACTTATGACGTCATAAGCGCGCTACTTTTATGTCCAGTTAGCTTCTTGCTCTTTGTGTATGAGCCTTGTGCCTCAGTGTGTGTGTGTGTGTGAGTGAGTGTGTGTGTGCGTGAGTGTGAGCGTGTGTGTGTGTGTGTGCTTGGAATTGGAACGGGATGTTCATTTATTACGCACCACACTTGTAGCTTTGGCTAGTCCTTGAATATACCCTTCTCTCTCTAGCGCACTCTATCACAGTGGCCTTGGGCTAAAAGCCTTTGTTATTCCAGCTTTCGTATATCCTATACGCATATATGCCGTTATTTTATATATTTCATTTTCGTTTCTATTTGAATTGAAGTTTGATATCGCGCTTCACTTTGCAAAAAGGAAAAAAATAAACAATAAATAAATCGACAAACGTGAATTTAATCTTGCTTTGTGTTTTCATTTCATTTGATATTTTAGCCTCAGTAAAAACCATTTAAAAATTCAATTTGCGTTTGGAGAAAAAATAATTGAAATCAATTCAGGTGAGCTTAACTTAGGACAAGTAATATTTATTTATACGAATGTTTACTTTAGATTAACAAAACTTAACCCACTGCTCAGTGCAAAAGTCAACTATAAAAATAAGAAATTTAAGACCCACAAAGCGGAACCAAAAGGCTTTAAAAATACTTCCCCATTTGTAAATATAGCATATTTATATTATCAGCTTAGGATGAGCTTATTTTAATTTACTTACTTTTTAGCAGCTGGCTTGAATCTTCGTTTTAGCATCTGCTGTTTTTTGTTGTCTTTTAGCCAAATTGCATTTTGGTAACATTAAGACTTCAAAGTTTGTGAGCTAATGAATTTTTAATGCGCCCTAAAAATCTCGCCTGTCTCCCGAGTGCTCCTCCAAGGGAGCAGGAGCTAAAAAGAACTCACATAAAAATTCAGCTGTGAATTGTGGCCAGCTACAGAAAGTATTCCAAAATTTGGTTTGCGCCTCGCCGGTTCCCACTCCCTCTATCTGTCTCCTTCATTCTCCTTGCCTTTTGGGGGAGGCTGTAAATAATGAAACACCAGACAAGCAGCAGACTGAACAATAAAACAACAACAACAACAAGGAGAGAAACGTGCAAAAAGTGTGTGTGTTGAACAATGTTGCGGGGGCTTTTCCAACATCCAAAAAAAACATTCGGGGTGTGGGGGAGGGGATAAAGGATAGCGGTACATGTAAAGTTGCAGCACTCAAAGGAATACGAGGACATCATAATCAAAGGCTTTTATTGCGCCATCAAATAACCAGAAAACTGTTAGCTCAAGCGTTTGCAGAGAGTGAGAGAGGGAGAGAGAGAAATAGATATAGAGTGGGGGGCATGGGGCGACACAGGGTTGCCCTTAACTGCTGGAGCCATGTCCGTTATTAGGCCAGGCTGGAATGAAGTGGAATGGCAGGCAAAGGCCGGAAACCGGGCGCAGACAATTTGCCTAGGCACGTTCGACCTAATAAGCTGGACTGAGGGGGGTGCATTGGAGTGAGGGGAACGGAGGCAGTTAGTGAGCAAAGTGCTTCCGTGTTGGGAGGCCAAATCGATTTTTATTGATATCCAAGTTGAATGCACCATGAATTCGATTTAGATTCACCAATTTTGGGGTTGCTCTCCTAAACCCCGGCGAAATTGATTGTCCCAGCGATAATTCTTACTATTTTTCCTCCAACTCTTATGCTCTATATGCAAACGGGCAAAAGTTAGTCGCAAGTTTCTCAAGGAAATCGAAATTGTTGTTTTGTGCGCTTTGACACGCACTTTCTTGATGATAAGCTCGATGACATTCTCCTTTCGAATACCCCGTAATCAAGTGAAATTGTTTGACAAAAGGTATATTGCTTTAAGAGAAATGAAAATCTCTAAACTAAATGCTAGACAAACTATTATAGATATATTATGTATATACTCTCTTATTATTAACGACCCATTACTTCCAAAAATATATTTTGAAATTTTATTTTAATAATAATAAAAAATTTGAAAACAATACTTCAATATTAATAATATGACTTAAATTTTGTTAAACTATATATTAATAATAATAGACTACTAAATACAAAAAGTAATCATTCTTTTATATTAAGCTAGTACTAAGTCAGCTTGGACTCGGCTACAGGGTATCGCTTAGCCGTTCAGCTCAATCTACACCACGTTGACTTCTTCTGCTTTGAAGTTCTGCCCACGTATTTTCTTTCAACTATTGCCTTTGATTTTGCTTTTTCGTACCATCTTCCGTTCCCTTCTCTCTCTTCTTATGTATTTGCCGTCCTCCTTCTCCTCTCCCCTCTTTGGCATTTCTGTTGCTCGGCAAAACTTGTTTTAATTGTTTTTTTTTTTTTTTCGGTGTTTGGTTAACTTTTTTGGACTTTTTTATTTGTTTGATTATTGTGCTCTATTTATAATTGTATTCGAGTTTAATTTTATTTATTTATAGCTTTACGCACTTTTGACATGCAGCGCTTGTCCAGCTATATTAAATGGGAGTACGACTTGAAGGGAGAGCAAGAGACAAGGAAGAGATTGCTATCTCTTTTCTTCTGAAAGGTCGAAACAATGGACACTTGATGGCGCCAGCAGTGCAAACAATTGCTCTTGCTGTTGTTGTTGTTGTTGTTTTGGCTGTGCTCGGTCGAAAGTTAAGTGTTTTGGGTCGAGTACGATAAGCTGCTTTTGGGGCTTAATCTGATGGGTTTTGCGGGTCACTCTTGGTAAGATCCAGTTAGATGCTGGGTTCGTACATATATTGTGTGGGCTTGATAATCAATCAGAGTTGAGTCAGTGAGTCGTGTAGAAAGCGGAAGTATAAAATTAATCTTTGATTAATCGGATCGAATTGTTCTTATCGTATATGAAATATGATGCACATAAAGGATTTGACTTTGAAGTCTAAGCTTTAACGAATTTGTATGTACTATATATGGGTTATCAATATGCAACAAACTCAAATGCATTTCTCCTTAATGGAGTGCTGAAATATGAGTGAGAAATATGAAACTAAATATTTATATATCAACCTTGTTATTGTAATAGTATAACAGTATATATTCGTCCTTTGCTTGTATACCCATTACTCTTTACCTCGTTCCTTCTAATTAATCTATATGCCAAATAAGGATACGAGTTTATGGGCGTATATTTATCTACCCAAAAACTTCAGAAAACCTCCCCTTTAGCTGCACGTTCTATTTCAACTCATATCAGTATATAATCGTTATAGTTATTGCTCACACAGAGTCCTCCCCCAGAACTTTTGACTCTGGTCACATCAACTCATCAACGCCCTCGGGTTTGACCTTTGACAACTGAACCCCGAAAAACAAGTCACAAGACGTCCATCAAATTAGTTCATCGATTTGCTGGTTGGCAGCGCGTGTGACAGAACACGCTGCTCGTCTCCGAAGGTCCTTAAACTCATTCAGTCAACTTAAATGCACATTTCCGTTCGTAAGGCCAGGGGCGGGACGGGGGGGCGTGGCAAGCGCCGCGAGTTGGCGCCACATTTAAAAGGCCATTAAGCACAGTTGCCCAACCACCCACAACGAGAGAACAACTGCGAAACCTACCGCAACTGCGAGCTATACACGAATACAAATAGATATATATATGTGTATATACATATATATGTATATTTCTATGTATATGGGACATTCGGCAACAAAATCGCGTGCTTGACGCAACTTAATTGAGCCCCAAATGAAATTTCATAATAAGCATGAGCAAAAATTGAATGAAAACAAGAGAGCAAAAACAAAGAAAACGCGCAATGGAAGAATTTACGACTTTTTGGGACTCCTGGAGCCAGTAGGACTATAAAGTACACTGTGAGAAACAGTTCTAGCATGAGCTGAACTACTTCTTAATTAAAAATATTAAGGATGTAAACAATTTGTATTCTTTACAAACTAAAAAATCTATGGAACTTTTCATGTCAAGTAAACAGAAGATGAATAAACAGTAAAATATGCTTTGAAATAATCTTAAAACTCTCTTTGCAGTCTCGGTTTTTATGAATTTCATAATAACGAAAATATGTCTCCATTTACATTCTGAAATGTTTTCTTGTTCACCAACATCGTTAGGCATTTCGCTGAGTGTAGACACCAAAGGGCTCCTCGCAGTGGCACAAAAGCTATGCGTGCCAGCCTCGTGGATGACTCATGTCTCGGCTGCGACGGCCTTCACAAGGATTCAATCTGCTCGCTAACAATGCCAGGTCTTTGGCAGGACGATTGTCTTCGTGCGTCGCGTGGGCCAACGGCAAACTGAATTAACTTTGAACTTATTGCATATGTTGTTGTTATTTTCACTTCTCTTGCTCCTGTTTGCCCAGTTTGTTAGCAGCAATTGTTCCTTTGCTCCTTTTTGTTTTAACTGCTTTCCATTGAGTCGTGTTTCCTTGTTTGTTTGTTTGCCTTTTTTCTTGCGGCTGTCCTTTCGCTCAGCTGTTTGCGTGGCGCAAATAAGTTTCATATCCTTGGCAGAACACTCTAGCATTTCCCCAGTCACCTCTTTGGCCCCACAGACCTCGTGGTCCCTTTGGGCAGACCGAGGCGAGAAGGACAAACAGCCCTGTGGCGCCAATGCCGTGTCATCGAAACCAAGAACAAGGCAAATGAGACGGCGGAAGGATAGTCAACAACTAGTCTATCTAGTTAATATACCAGCTGTCGCAGATATGTATGGTTAGCTAAAGGCAATAGTCATAAATCGAATCGGTTGACACGAGCTAGAAATTCACGTATTTATAGAAAAGATATACGATATTCTTATATTAGCTAGCTTAGTATATATATCTTATTATATTATCTAATCTTAAATAATTGTAATAATAATTGTAAGGCATATATATATATATATATATATATATAGAAAAGATCTCTTAAATATATTCTCTTCAAGATCCATTTAGTTTCATAAGCATTTCCGCATTCCTAATCATGACTTTTACAATGTCTTTGATCCCATGATTCATGAATAAATTGCTCGCATTTTCCGAGAAACAAGCCAAGACTTCCAACTGGCTTAATCTTAACTCTAGCATGACTAAATGATGTCTACTTGATGCTTCTAACTTCATAAGGTTTTCATTCCGCTTGATAATTCCAATCAGCATAGTTATGAGTGTGTTTGTGTTATGTCATCAATTTACGAGTTGGCATATATTATGGAAATATGGTCAAGACCTTGAGTATCGGCTGTCTCGCTCTATCCCTCTCTTTCTCTCTCTCCCCCTGAATGTTTTTGCCTCTGTCTTTCGTCATCGAGGGGGCAAGGCTTATGAGTCACGCATTGATTTTTCTTCTCTCATCCGATGAACTTTGTTGTGCAGTTCAACTTTTTGCATACTTTATTATATATATATTGTATACATATATTGTATAGTAATACTTTTATGCGGCTTTATTTTCTTTCATTTATTGAGCTAAATTGCGTTCTATTGTTAGTGCGGCAAACAATTAGCTATGCCCAAAGCATGATCTATTATTTAGTTT